GGAGAGTAGAGTGGGTAGCTCAACTTGAACTTTCTACACACCGATTTAAGGTTTAAAAGGACACTCCTTCCCCTTTCAAGGGCAAACCATCATAAATTTCTCCAAAATTTGATGCAAAATTATGTAATGGTCATCAGTTGGTGCTCACTTAGGACTTGGCTTTTCTCTTATGGATTCAGTTTCACAATCTATTTTAATGAAGGTGATTTCCTGGTTGGATGTTTGCCCAAGATCAATGACTTGCAACCATTGTGTTAAAGAAATTATTGTTCCGGTTGCTTTTCAGCCCCATTAAGGTTCCTTCATCTTTTAAACTTATGCGTAAATTATTCTTTAAAAAAATTAAATTTATTTCATAATTATAGGAAATAGACGATACATATAATTTTGAGAATTTACTACAAAAATAGATATAATGTTGCATCTTCGTTGTGTATGCAAGTTTTAAGAGAAGGCGGTTGTATTGTTCCTAAAAAGCCTAAAGAATAATGTTATGTGATATTAAGTATATATCAATAAGGGTTCGTGAGAGCGTAAGCTTGGGATAGGACAATGAATTGTACCCATGTGTTCCCTTGTGTGTGCTTAACACGCATGTTATATTTGAAAGCGACAATGACTCCACACTTCGTATTTACCTTCTCTGACCATTTTTGGTCAAATTTTAAATCGATTAGAAGTTAATAATTAGGGGATACATACACTTGCATTTTTATATATAATGCAATTCCAAATTATGAGAGCTATACAATTAGCTTTTGGTTATCCAATTAACTCAAAATTTGACATGCTTAAAAGCATAACACGTAAAATTTACAGCAGGGATCCACTCACCAAAGAAGTTATAGGAGGGTGCAAGATAAAATTCCTTAACCTATGTACATTGTTAATGTATGCATATATATATATATATATATATATATGTATTGATACCATAAATCTTAAACCGTTTTGTTTTGAATATCACACTCTGGTTGGTGTCTCTTTTTAAAATGAGTACAATTTTTTTTTTTTTTTTTTAAAGAAAGGAAAATGACTACTCACAAATGCTGTGAACAAATGAAGTCAAGCTAAGTAATAAGTTTTTGAAATTTAATTTAAAATTTCAATAAATTTTTAAATGTATTTAAATTTAATTTATTTATACCTGATAAATTGATTTTAAACAAGATTTTAATGAGCCAAATTGTACCCCAAAAATTTGGTTCATTTAGGGTGTGTTTATTTGGGCGGACTGGATAAGGTGAGATTGTAATTCACCGTAATCTTGGAATACATTGTCCTCGGGTTATTTGGTTGGACTCAGGGCGGACCTAGGGCTAGGCACAGGTGGCTGCAGCCCAGCCCAAAATTTAAAAAATCTGTAAAAAAAAAAATTCCCAACCCAACCTAGCCCTGCCCCACCCCAAATAAGGGCTAATAATTTTTTTTGTTTGTTTTTTAAATAGGTAGCCCAAATACCAGCCTAATACTTATTTAAAAAAATAGATAGGCAACCCAATAGATTTGTATTTGTTTAAAGAATAAAGCTCCAAAACAATCCTCACATCTTCTAATAGATAGGCAGTGGCTCTCTCCATCGTCTCCAGTAGCTTGCAACAGCTCTACTTTCCTAACATTTTTGGCAAGTGTAATTAACCAACTATTTTATTTCGTTAGTTGAGAATGGATTTGATTAACAATGATTTTGAAATTTTGTCTTTATGCAACAAATATTATATTACTCTTAGTTTTTTTATGATGCTGTCTTGTTCAGTGTTCTATATTGCTCTTAGTTTTTAAACTTTGAAAGTGTTTTTTTGGACATATATAAAAATAATGAAAGCTTAAATAAAAATTATTGAGGATGTATATAAAAATCTTAATATTTAAAATTATTGCGAATATACTCTGGTTTAATATTAACTAGGGCTAATTTTTTTTGAAATATTTTTTAGGTTATAAATAATGGAACCTTCACATTCAAAAAAGAAAAAACCATTTTCTCATTCTATCAATCAAAATAGAAGTCTAGTAATATAACATCCAATATTTTTAAAATCTCATTTTCTAATGGGCAACCGCTTTCCATGCCTCAAGCAAATAAATCAAGTGAATTTGATTCAACTGTTATTGAACGAGATCCTGGTTTACGCTTGCAAATTTGTGAATATTCGGTTAATCAACGCAATGAGGTTAGATGAGCTCATATGAACTTGGGGCCTTATCAACCTAAACTAGTATCCCAGGTCCTCACTTGGAGAGCAGAATCGCGGATTTCAACATACTTGGTTTAAACAATTTTCTTGACTAGAGTATTCTCTTTCAAAGGATAAAGCATATTGTTTTTCATGCTTTTTAAAAATTGATTTAGATTCTGTAATCGATGAATTCGAATTTTTAAAGACTCGTCAAGTATAACTTAGTTAGATTGTTTCTAATCAATAAATTTAGATATTAATCTAAATTATATTATTAAATACTCTTTTTTCTTATGTGGTTATACTTAAAATATATTTTATAATTTTAGCTTAATAGTAGCCCACCCCATCGACAAATTCAGGGTTCGCCCTTGTTGGACTGGATTTGTATCCTATGTTTGTTTAATCATAGGATTAAATGTCTGGATTGGACTATTTTATTGAATCCAATGTTTGATTAGATGGACTGGATAATGATAAATGTTTAAAAGACTATTTTATCATTGTAATTTATAATTTATATTTTTTATTGAATATATAATTTTAAATTTGTAATCTAGAATTTATAATTTATAATTTAACAACACTAAAAAATTTTAATTTATAAGGCATAATTTTTAATTTGTTATTTTTAATTAAATTAAATTAAATTAAAATTTTAATTTATATTTTTTATTTAATATATAATTTTCAATTTGTAATTTATAATTTATAAATGTTCAAAAGACTAGGAAAAAAATGTAATATCAACACTAAAAAAATTTAATTTTTAAGGCCATAATTTTTAATTTATTATTTTTAATTAAATTTAATTTATAATTTATAAATGTTCAAAAGACTATTTTACCATTCTCCAATTGTTTACTAAGTAATAGAATGCGGATAAAATAAACATTTCACACGTTAGTCCTATGGGATACCAATCCCATGAAAATAACCACCTCCCTCCCTCCCCGAAGGATTATTTAGTCTCTCATATAAGGGATATGAAATCCGGTCGGATTTCATGACTAACGGACTAAAGTTGCACCAAATAATAGACATCCCTTCCAATGAATTCAAGTCCAAATAGTGTTTAGTCCCCCTAATCCTTCCAAATAAACACCATCGTAGCATGGGTGTGGGGTGACTGTTGTGCGGGGCACAACAACTACTGCTGTACAGCGAAATAGGCTCATTTCGGAACAAATTTTGATAATTCAAATCGAGTAAAATAGGCCTACAAAATATGAACGATTTTTTAAAAGGATTAATGATATCCAATTAACTTAATTTTTTATAAATATATTCCACTTAATACATTTTAAAATATCAACAATTTAAGTTATCAAAATGGAACACTGTGCCCCGTAGCACCCAGTGCTTGAGTATTTGTGGTTCTTTGATGCTCTAATATAAGTCAGTAGTTGAGTTGGTGATTCTTTAATTTGCAGAGCATTCACTAAAATTTATCAGAACTTGACTTTGACCTAATTAATAAAAACTTAAAAATTCTGATGTTTTGTCACTTAATGGTATAGCTGTAACACACCAAAGCTGTCAATATTTTAGATTTAACTTGTAAGACTTGGCAACAGCTGCACAGAATGTTGTTCTACTTTTAACATCTTGAAGTTATTAAAGTGATATACATCATGTGCCATATACATATATATATATATATATTTTTTAATGATTTTTTTGTTCAGATTATATTTTATTTAGTTTTAAGATCTTAAAATTAAAACCGAGCAACCTTTCAATAATCTCTTGAAGTAACTTGAACACGAATTATCTTCAAATTTTTACCGTTGATCCAATGCCACTTCCAAGTTCCACATTGGAAATAAGAGTTTAAAAGAGGCTAAATGTGATATATATTATATTATTAACACAAGAAAATATTAATCTATACTATATATTAAGCAAAAAAAAAAATTTTAACTCCAAGTCTGGGAACTTCAATCTCCCAATTTAAATTAATCTATACTATATATTAAGCAAAAAGAAATTTTTAACTCCAAGTCTTATGGGAACTTCAATCTCCTAATTTAAAATTTTTAATTTTTTGATTTTAAAAAAAAAAATCTTAACATTTATTAATTTTTTCCAACTCCCAAGTCTTATTATCATAATAAGACTAATACATTAAAAACAACCAGAAAAAAAATTCTTTGAAATCTAATTCATATGAATTTCTTGAAAAGTCCCAACACATATGATTATTATCCCACATAATAACATTTTAATGCATTAAGAACAAACAAAAAAAAATTCTTGAAAAGTCCAACACATATGATTATTATCAAAATATTAAACTTTAATATAATATAATAATAAAAAAAGACATTTAATTCGGATTGTTTAAGATAATCTAAATAAGTATATATTTTGTCTTTTTACGAAAAGATAGATAGAAAAGTAGAGAGGTGATGCGATAAAAAAAAGATAAAAATATAAAAAAATGGATTATTTTTAGGATGCCAAACTTGGTCTTAAAAAAAAATATTTAAAATTCATAATTCACATATAAAGATAATTATAAACACAATCCGTGCATAGCACAGGTGATATGTTAATAGTTCATATATAAAAATATGTATAAATAGTTTAAATATATAAAGTAATTCCAAATCTTAAAATTTTGTTAAAAAAATAAAGTAGTAAAATTTAAATTATTTAAACATTACTTCCACCTCATATTCTGCAGTAGCAAAGCAACAGCCCAGCCCCTTCCCTCTGGCATTATTGCCCTTCTATTCAAACGGAAATGAAGTGTTAAATCCTCCTACTGCCAAAATTAAGTAATAATTATAAATTTAAAATTCACAGCACAGAGGATTGAAAATTCAAAAGATTGTTTTTTTTTTAATTTTTTTTTTTAAACTTAATTTCCAGCTAGTTTTTTTTCTCATTACCTGATGAACAAAAGTCCCAAATATAGAGAATAAACCGAAAAGAAAAAAAGAAAAAAAGTTGCATTTTTCTGCTCTCAACTCTCTCGTTCTCTCGATTCCATTTTGTTCTCTTCCACGGTCTATCTCCCTCACTCTGTACACTGACCTAAATTATTATCGGTACATTTCCAAACAGAAACGAGGTCCAATTCACTTGATTCGAATCCATTTCATTCCCATCCAAACTCAGCCTTACTTTCAACTACTCGATCTTGCTGATTCCGATGCGCTTCACAACTGCGTTCATGAATCCATCTGCAGTAGCCTGTGGCATACAATATCCACCTTGCTGTTGTGTTGGTATTTGTTCTATTCCCGCCATGTAATTCCACACCTCCTTCCTTATCATCTCCTGCATCACCCCCAACAACTCCGCACTGAACTGCGGGAACGCCGTCTCCGGCGCCGGCGATGACACCCCTCCGAACTCACTGTTCCTTTGATTTACCGGCTGAACTGGTACTACAATCGCCGGAGCCGCCGCCATCGACGGTGATGCGAACTCTATATTCATTGAAACCAACGCCGCCGCCGGCGGAGGTGGTCGTAACTGAGTCGCCTCGTTCACGCGATTGGAAGAATCAGACGAATCGACTCCGGGAAGCGAAAGGCTCAGAGAGGTCGTTGGATCGTTCTTCAACGACGTGGTTTCAACCTGTGGAGGCAAGACGCCACCTGTTCTCGCTACAGGTCGGTATACATGAGACGAAGACATAACAGGAAGGCTCGAATCGCTGACGTCGGATCCGGAAGGACTACTCGGATTCAAATAGAGGCCCGAAACCGGAACAGCCGACCCGGCACTAACCGATCTTTTCAACGGTTGATGATTGGAACAGTCGTCACCTTCATCGGTGCTCATAGACGAGCACTTCCTCTTCAAGGTCGAGTTCCAGTGGTTTTTAATGGCGTTGTCGGTCCGACCCGACAACAACCGGGCAATCGTGGCCCATTTGTTGCCGAACCTGGCGTGAGCCCTCATGATAGTCTCGTCTTCTTCCGGAGTGAAAGCCCGGTGCTCCACCTGAGGAGAGAGCTGGTTACACCATCGTAACCGGCACGATTTTCCAGATCTACCTGGTATAGATTTGCTTATCAGAGACCAGTTTCGAGCTCCATGTTTTTGAACTAGTTTCTGTAACATGTCATCTTCTTCGGGGCTCCACGGACCTTTGATCCGATCCACATCTTTCTTTGTAGATGCCATGATCGATTCAGAAAAGCATAAAAATGGTGTTTTTGGTATTCGGAACGTTTCGTTTCGTTTCGTTTCGTTTCGTTTGAAACAGTTGGTTGCAGAGAAAAAAAAATGGAGGATTTGAGAAGTTGGGAGGGAGAGAGGGTGTGAGAAGCGCTTTTTATATGAAAGGGGAGAGAGAGGAGCGGTTTGGTATAGTATATATTATAAGGGAGAGGATAGGGATGACCGGTTGGGCCGGTGGAGTCGAATTGGAGAAGGCGTTATGGAGCACCGCTTCTTCCAGGCAAGCGGTTTTTCTTGGCTGTTGGGATACAGCTGTCTACGGACACGCGTCACACTGAGCTGCACTGATTTACACATACTCCGCTCCTTAAAATCTTTTACTTTTCATATCACCTACCCTCTACAGGTGCGTATCCTTCAATCTCATTTTATTTCTGCTTTTTTATTTTTGAATTTTTAGGAAATAAATAAGAACTTAATTTTCAACTATAATGTCTATGATAAGTAGATAGTCTTATATTCTTGAAAAAAAATATATATATATATATATTTATTATATATGCAATTTAGCTCAAAGCAAAAGCCATGACTATGACCACAAAAAATAGAGTTGGGCTAATTTTATTTTCATGCTTTAAATAAATTTAAATAGTTGTATTTGTAATAACGAGGAACGAAACATGTTTATTTTTTTAAAATATCATGCTAATGGCATTATAAAATATGGTTGGACAAACATTGGTTCGGACCAGTACTATATAACAAGAGTATATGTATTATTTCAGGCTCAGTTCAGTTCAACAATATAGACCAACATAATTCATCCATCTTAAGTTTGGCCTTTAAAGAATATCAAAATTCTAAATCTGTCTACGTAACTCAATAGATATGAACAATTAATTTTTTTTCCCAACTTAAACGCCTATTAAATTATTTAAACCTTTTTAATAATTATTTGAATTTAAAATAATAATTAATTTTAATTGTAAAATAAATATGATTTTGTAAGATTTGTTTTAGTTTAAGCTATAGAAACATATATATATATATATATATGTATTTTTCTTTATTTTTTAATTCATTTTGTAACTATATAATATAAAATATAAAATTAATATTTTCTAAATGGGCAAACTGGGAAGGACTGGGCTAGAATTCTTTATCCCAAGTCAGTACCAAAATTGAATGGGCTCAAAAAATTTGTCCAATCCAATCTTATGTGTTAATTTTTTTTTCAAGCATTAAAAGTATCAAATTGGTTTGGATGGACAATCAGGCCGATGGCCACCCCTACTATAAACTATCTGAAGTGAAGATAATTTTTGAATAATTAAAAATTTTATGCATTTTTTTATATATTCTCAAATATTTTTATACATTTCTATAAAATTAATAACTATCCCTTAAGTGGTAATTATCAATTCTCTTTTCAAAAATTCTTTTTAACTTTATTATTAGGATAAAAAGGATAATAATGTAAAAGAGATTTTTTTTTGTCAATCAATAAGAAAGTAGTTCTAAATGTGAGAAATTGTATATCATCAAATAGATACAAGATTATTAGACTGAAAGTTATTCCATATTTTTAAAATATGAATAAGGCCTATTTTGGGAAGTAAATTTTTTTGGCTTATTAATTTTTTTTGAAAAAATGTGTTTCAAAAAAAGTTAAGAGATGATGTGACTTAAATAAGTTAAAAAAAATTAATAAATTAACTCTTTTTTTTTAATTGTCAAAATAGGCCTAATAATATACAAGATTCTTTTAAAAAAAAATGAGAGAAAAAAAAATAAAAGAAAAGCATTTTTTGACAAAATAGTTCGAGGCGTGAAAAGTGTGGAAAGTGGGAGGCACGCACCACGTGAGAGTGGAGAAAATAAATTTATAGTTCTAGTATTTTGCTTGAGGGTTAATTAGTTGAGGTTCTTTTTCACTGTGGTTATGGAAGTTATAAGGGAGAGGTGGTAGAGAGAGAGAGAGAGAAGTCTTCCCCAAGTCCCAACCGATATTTATTATCCCATTAATTAATAAAGTTGAAAAATAAAGTTAATAACGGTTGAGGTTAGGAGTTAGGGATTACTTGAATCTGGAAGTAGGTTGAGTGTTGTGAGGAAGCGATGGGCCCCGCCAACTTTGACTGATGATCTAGAGAGAGAAAGGCAGGGGAGCCAGCCTGGAGAGCATTTTCCTTTTCGTGCGGGATATTGTTACTCTTTTTTTTAATATTAAAAAAAATATAAAATAAAAATATTTATAAAATCAACAATGATAGAGACCATTAATTTTGAAACTTTAAAAAGACCACTAATGACATGACACTCAATAAAAAAAGAAAAAAATACAACACCAAACTAAAACATCAAATCATTCATAGTAAAACTTACTGCCACATCATTAGTGGTAGCACTAATTAGTGCTCTCACTTCCTTTATAAAATGCTTCTTCTTATCAACACAAAAGAAACGGCCGCAAAGAAATGGTGAGGTGGCGCAAAACGACAAAGGCGGTCGCCGAATCGGAGGGCGAGTCATTACTGCTTTCCTGTCAGTCCAGCCTGTATAGCCTACCCTCTATGCTCCTACCCTAACGGCCTCTCTCTACTCACCGACCGACACTAGCCGGTTACCCCCCCCCCCTTTTGCCTTGCCTAACCCCGCAATGCCCC